GTTCATCACTAAGGTACGATTTAAACTTAAAAGAAATATCAGTATAGGTTATGTATATTTGTTGTTGTAGAACTAATGCTAAGTAACCGGTTTCTGTATCACATGACAACTCAAACTTGGAGAACAGTATAGGTGTCAAACCAAAAAAGAAGAAGAACAGTATAGGTGATTTTGTTGCTACAAACTATAGTTGTATTTATTTATTTGTTGTTCTAGTAATCGCTTTCTTTAAATTTTTTATTTATTTTTATTTTCTTGTTTTTCTTCCTCTTTTGTTGCTTTTACTTCATATGCAGTACTAGTGAGGCATATGACATCACATTTTTTTTCAATGGGCTCCATCAAGACTGGGCAGGCTTAAAGGCAAGAATAGCATGGGCTGTTGCCTGAACAAAGTGACCTCATGTTAACGTTAGTGTTACGGCCAATTTAAATACCAAAAAATTGAAGAAAAAAAAATCCGAATTTTTGGAGATCCTACTGCCAATTTGTTTTGTGCTTCCCTCCTGGTACATGGATTTTTGAAACTGGGCAACATTCCATCAGAGAAACATGGGCACACTTACTATCATATTGAAATTCAAACTCTTACTATACTGTGATGCATTACTTTGAAGGTGTCAAAGGAAAATGAAATGGCGGCTGCCATCAGCTGCCAGCACAAATGTCCTGATGTCTCAGAGTTATTTTGAATCTTCCATGACCCTAGCAGATATTTCGTTGAACTTCATTCTGGAAAATGATCCGGGATATGTTCTTGTTTGCACAATTTGTTTCCTGGAAAGCTTCACAGATATATTGATGATAAATGTTGTCCTTATTTGGTCGAGACTTTTCATTCCAATGAGTATATGCATACACCGGCTACCTTTAGGATTTTTTGGAAGAACCTTTATAGGCTCTTCCAGGATCCACTGCACCCATTCGCGTTAGGTGGCGACCACTCAATTTCTTATTGTAAGAGCTGTCTCCAAGAAGCTTGGGCGACCTGTGGATATTCTTCATCTTGATGCCCATCCTGATATCTATAACTCCTTTGAAGGTAATGAACATTCACATGCTGGTAAATTCTTATCTGTAAATACACTTTCCCACTTAATTAGGAAATGAGAATTTCTCCAAATTGATGAAATGAGATTATTCACAACCTTGTGTATCTTTTTTAGTTTCACATAACCTGGCTCTACCATTGCTGATTTTCTGTAAAGCATCTCATAGGATTTTGACATCACTTGTGGGAAAATTTGTAAATATTCTCAGCTGATAATATTCGCAGTTTCGTCCCAGCATTCGAAGATTAGAATCTTTGTGCACGAGGCAGAGTAGCTCATGAACACTATTCAAACGTACACTGTACACAGACAATCCTAGGATTCCTATGTGACTTGTGGATTGAACATCTAAAATCAGGCATGAAGATTGACAAATATATATATATATATATATATATATATGAAAGTGACTCATGCTGTGACTTGTGGATTGAACATCTAAAACCTCTTTGTGCAATCCTCTTTGAGGGAAAGTGACTCATGCTGAGTTGTGGATTGAACATCTAAAAACTCTTTGTGGAGTTTATAAAGGAAGAAGGAAGGCGGGGTGTTAAGTTCCTGGAAGCTCTATGACATTTGAGTCCATGAATAGTGAAGTTGCAATTTTGAAAAGTTAAAAACTCGTTGTGGATTGAATATCTAAGCCCTAATATGAAATAAGGAGAATTTCAGACATTTGAGTGCATGAAGAGTGACAAAAAAGCTACGATATTTGAGCGTATGAAGATTGACATAAAAAATAAAATATATGAAAGTGACTCATACTGACTTGTGGATTGAACATCTAAAAACTCTTTGTGGAGTTTATAAAGGAAGAAGCAAGGTGGGATGTTAAGTTCCTGGAAGCTCTATGACATTTGAGTCCATGAATAGTGGAGTTGCAATTTTGAAAAGCTAAAAACTCTTTGTGGATTGAACATTTAAGCCCTAATATAAAATAGGGAGAATTTCAGACAAGCTTTTATGCTCAAAGGTTTTGGGTTGACGAAATTGCTCCTTGCATCATGAAAGAAATTGACAAGAATACTAATATGTCCTTGGATTGCTACAAATACGAAACTACAATGGCAAAATTGACAGAATTGAAATTACATAGTCAAAAGTGGTTGAAGTGTCAAATTGTAGGGACCAAAAGTGACTTTTGGCCCTTAATTTAATTTGAATAAGATAAGGAAAATGTTATAGAGACCAACTTTAGATACTAACTTATCATCTCTTTAATAGAATGTGAGGCTTATTGTATTGGTAGACTTACCCTTATTAAAGAGATGATACACAAATTAGTATTTAAAGTTGGTGTACTTAGCATAACTGAATTAATAAATGTTTGAAAGACATGACGTTGGAGCAGAACATTGATTTTTGGCAGGATGATGTGAAAGGGGGCCTTGGGTGGGGGTAGGTGGTTTGGGTCCTTTTAGATCTATGGTTCGATTACGAGTCACATAAATATGTCCAAACGGGCCTTGATATGTAGGAAATGAAACCACCAAAAATTATCTTCATAAAATGATAATTCTAAAAAAAATATTTTTCATACTTAGCCAAAATTATCTTTGTCCTTCAATACTGACAAAACTGCAGTGGACGAGACAAATTATTTTAGTGCTCACTGTGTTGATTCAGCAGCAAATGTATGATTGCATCTGCTAGCGAGGAACTAAGAGTGTGTCTCGTTGACTGCTTTAGTCACAACCTTGAAGGCAGAGATCGCTAACTTGCAGGGGAAACTCAAGCAATCGAACCGACATATACAAGCACTAGAGAGGAGAAATCGAGAATATGCTGAGCTGGTGAATGTCTTACAAACTTGTGTATCAAGAAGAGAAGGATGAGGATTTGAGATGAAGAAGTTGTTGTTTGTTTGTTTTTTTTTTTTTTTTAATTTACTAGAGATATTTTTGGTTTATTGTAGTGTGTATCTATTTTTTGAAGTTGATACAGTTCTAATGAACATGAGTGTTGTGTATGATTTTATCTATTAACTATGAATTAGAATATTATCGTTTCATTTTGATGAGTTTATTTTGGGTAGATTTTTTTTTTAACCTTTTATACGTTGACCCCCGGAATGAAAATTCATGGATCTGCCACTGTTCCTATATACCATTTTTTAAATAATTTTTTTTCTTATTTAAGTTAATTTTTTTATATACTAAATATTAAATATTTTTCAATTAAAAAAAGGGACAGAATTGTGGTATTGGATTGAATTTGTTGGCAACTACAAATGCGGTGACGAAATTAAAAAAATTAAAACCACAGAGATCAAATTTTATTCCGAGCCAAACTGCAATAACTAAAAATGTAATTAACCCATATAAATATATCTTGTTGCATGGAAGTTTACAAACACTCCCAAGTAAAATCCCAAAAGGTCAACTCACCTACAATTTGGTAACCTATTCACTAAAGAATTGGCGCGTCTTTGTTTGAGTTTGAGTTTGCCAATAATTGGGCCTTTGTTGCGGTTGCCTCTAAATCATTCGACCAAAAGTGGGGATCAAAAGTCGTTTAGGGTTTGTTTAAACAGAATTGTGCTATTATTTGGGCCTTTAGGAAACATTCACTTTGTAACTTGTAAAATTGTAAAGTTTCTTGAGATTAATTATAAGACATTACCAATAAACAAATAAATCATTCGACCAAAAGAAACCAAAAAAAAAAAAAAAAGTAAGGAAATAAACTATACTTATTTTCAGATGGAAGAAAGGGGAAAAGAAAACACCTTTTTCTTTTCTTTTTTGGTAAATTGGGGGGTCCCAAAGCCCCAAAAACAGACTACTCACACTTTTCTTCTATTTTTTATATAGTAAATTTAGGTTTTAGCAAAAAAAAAAAATTCCACTTTTGAAAAAAGCCAAAGTTTTTTCCAAAAAAACTGAAAAACCTCTCAACTTTCAAATCAAAGACATGCAAATGTAAAGGATTTCTTAGGAAATCCAAAAATAAATAAGAGCAATTTTGTCCATTTTGGCTTCTTTTACAAAATTTCTCTCTCCTTTGTG